AGATAGATAGATAGATAGATAGATAGATAGATAGATAGATAGATAGAATCAAAAGGAAAAAATGGAAGAAACAGCAGAAAATGTGGGGGAGAGTGGGGAATCTAACAGTGCCTGTGCATTGACAAATGCCTGCTCTGTTTTGGCTGGCGAGAATGGAGCTCAATTGCAGGTCTGGAAGAACATCAAAACACAATTAAGGGCTGACATGGAGCTGGTCATGCAGAAGAGTGAGGACAGGGGTTGAAGAAGTGGAGCTTGAGGAAAGAGGAGGAGCGCTCAGTAAAGAGAGGAATACAAGACAATGTGATATTTTGGGGCAAACAGAACAAAAAAGACTCTGCCCTGTTTTATAGGTCATGGTTTTTGGAAGTCGTGAGAGGAAGATTACCTACATTGGAATGTGGAAAAGGTGGGGAAAGGGTGAATGTAGGTTTGACACTGACTGGCTTTGTGTCACGTGTGGGGGAAATGTTGGTGTTTTTGGTCTTGTCTCCATGTTGTCTGGTCATTTCCTGTCTTATTTTGAAAGATGCATCCCCTTGTTTCAGGTCACTTGCACTTCCGGTTGTGTTCCCAGTCTGTCTCCTTGATTACCTATTGTGTACACCTGGGGTTCCTTTCCCTCATGTGTTTAAATAGTCCTCGTCTCCCCTTGTCCCGTGCCGGTGTATTGAGTTCCATGACCACAGTTCCTGTCTTGATCACAGTTACAGTTTCCCAGTGAGTATTTCTTTGTACCTTGCCCATAGTCATGTTGTTTTGATACTTTGTTCACAGCTTTGTCTTCCTCATAAGAGTGATTATATTTTGATACTTTGTTCGTAGTCTTGTTTATTGTTTTGGTACTTTGTCTCCACTCGAAGAGTGCGTTTTCTGTTCAATAAAACTCCTGGAATTAACCACCTCTCGGCGCCTGAGTCCTCCCTTCAAGAACCCCCCCCCCCCCTGACAGCTTTGTGTTTTTTCAAATATGTGTAACGAAATATTGTTTTGTGTAAGTAAGCAATCTTCAAATTCACACTACATGAACATCCCTATGAAACAGACTCATAAGTCCTACCAGATCAAAAGAAGTGGCTACTGGTCTCCATCTCCACATAGACCATCTCTATGTAAGTTCTCAAAGGTTGGGTTTTTAGCACCTGAATTTAACTTGATTCCTTTTAGTTTTCTTTCAAACCCACCA